ATCCCTTGGGTTCGTAAGGCCCTGCAGGCCCCAGCCGACCGGGTGGCTCTTGCTGATGAGAATACCGTGTCAGCAAAGATGGCCAGCAGGAGGAAAATTTGCCCCCAGTAATTATAACCAACGGCCCTACTTCCTGCAAAACAGACTCCAGTTTCAGTGACATTTTCTTACATGACCACCACCACAAAAGGGATGTGGTAGCTTTAAACTGGGTCGTTTTGAATCGTCCGCCCTTTCACCGCCAACGCGCAAAACCACAAAAAAATCCCAATAACAACGGAGGCGGCACGAAACCACCGCGAGAGAGATAGTGACATATGGCTTGCTTGTTTAGGTAACCTGACAAGTGATTTCGTTTTTTAAATTTGACGGCGTAAGCGTATTTAAGTCACCCAAGTGACAACCTGACTTACATGCTCGAGACGGTCCCCATCAGGCATCTCCAGTCAGTCACACCAGCCCCTTATCCCCTGAGACGAGGAGTGTGCTGCTGTCCTCAGGGTAAAGACCCAGATCTCACCGGGAATACCGCTCCGACAAACACAGCTACACAGCCGGCCCAATATACTCTCAGTTTGAGAGGACAGGGACACCGGATGAGCAAGAAGCCAGTGTGTTAATTGCAGATACAGAAACAAACACTTAAGAATATTGTTCTGGTGTTTGAATGAAGTCTTTGTAATTTGTAATAAACAATATCTTAATACAGGCATTTATAGGTTGGTTGTTTCTGATTACATTTAAACACGTCTTATTTTAGAATGAAGGCATTAGGCTAGCCATTATCAGTAGGCATTTGCATTTAACTTATATCAAATAATATAAATAAAATTGTAATCATTACTGGATGTTTTCCAAGTTGTCAGCATCGCCCCAAAATAACAAGAGTAACCACCAAAGCTAATATAAATGCATTCAGCTTTCTTTTCAGTGTGTCGCAGACTCAGTTTTTCTATCCGTCTTGTCTCGCGATAGTTGAGAACAGTGAGCCCCAGGTGTTTCCGATGTCTATACACGACGCCTCAAACAATAAGCACCAGTCTCTCCTGTTCTCTTTGTATGTACTCCATTTTTCATCTGTTCTAAGTGCCAGTGTTTGGAGGTTAACTGAGTTTCGCTCTCCTTCCCTTCCCTTCCCTCCTCCAGGAGCCATGTTGGCAAGCTATGCTAACAGTGGCTAGCCCTCGGATCTCTTGTAAGTTAACTTTACTTTGAAAAATGTCGCAGTGCCAATATCACACAGACTGCAGGTGTTT